CTGAAAACAGAAGCGATCTGTATTCGCGGGAATCTGTGCAACTGTCAGCCCGAATACGTCGCCGCAAAAACACACGGAGAGTAACTGCTGGTAATTGGCGCGCTGTACAGCAGAGTCCAGCTCATTAATAATGCACTGAATCTGCTCGCAGCTGGACACGCCAAATGGAAACGATTCAGAGTCTGATCATTCGGATTTGCATTGCAATTTGACCAAAACGACCGGACTTATCTAGTTCATACTTTCACGTCTCCAAGTGTGTCATTTCTAAAGTCTTATGAAGATATTAGTGAATCGGGGCCAATGTATCCGCTGACCTAACAGTTCCAACGTCATCCCAGATGAACAAATGTGAGCTCATCCTATGACGGGATGAGTCATCCACGCCATCCCATTTTGCTTCGTGTTTTTTCTTCGTTGTCAATGCTATCGCTGATGAGTTGCGCAACGGTCGTACCGATGGAACGGTTTCTGCGGAAATATGAGCTCGCCTATATTCTAACACTGATTTGTGGATCGTTTTCTTTTCATCCATAATTCATTTGGAGTCACGGGCAGCATCCTCCAACCAAACAATGGGCTCCGCACTTCTCCCCCTCCCCCTTTTGTTCCCTCCCTCCATTTTGCCTGGTTAACCCGGCTGTGAGGTGAAGAAGAAGTGAAGTGAGCAGACCGAGGAGGGTCACGCCGAGATTCCCCATCAATAATTCATCGGGCTGCTGCTGCCTCTGCTCTTGTGTTCGATTCCCCTGACAATCACATAATACCCCCCTCCCCCAACTCCCCCCCACAAAAAAAAAAAGAGAGAATGAGAGGGAGAAACAGATAGGACGAGGCAAAGAGGCAACGCTCGGGACGCATTTCAAGGCTGCACCTTGGAGCGTTTGCCAACCATCGGAAAAGCCCCCATCGACTCCCCTTCGGCCGCGTTTTCGTATCAATTAAGTCACCATTTCGGAGCCCTTAAAACTGATGGGCGGGGCTTGACACGAAACTAAATTGACAAGCCAATGATTAGAGTCGGATTCATTCGTTCTTCTGCTTGAAGTTTCGAGCGTTCCCTTCCACTCCATGTAGATTGATTCAAGTCATGAAGATAAATTCCCATAGCTGCACCTTTATCCACCTCTAAGCCAAAATAAAAGCTGTTCCTTTTTGGCCGGCGTGCTACAACTCCGCAACTCCTGTCCCGGCGGACCGTGGGCATTTTTCTTTGACATGGCGTATGCTAGATTTTAGACCACGTGAAAGCAGGTCTAAGTTATGGCGCAGGTGGCTTAAAGTGATTTTGGTGGCTTTGATGCCGACAGATTCTGACCTGCGCGGATGTGTGTGGCGGATGCGAACGTATTTCGTTCAAAACATGACGACAGCGTGCAGCGTGAGTGTGGAGGGCGGATGTCACACGTGTACGCACGATAAAGTGTAGAAGGCGGTCTCTACAGCAGTCAACTTTACATCATCTGACAATGGAGATCTTCTTGCAGTTCCATACAAAAGTGTTTTACGTGCTTCGATCTTTTGCATAGACTCTAGCGAGTGTTTTTCTGCTTACGCAACGTCAAAGACTGTGTGCGCGCCTCTGCTGTGCAGAATTTGAAGGGAATGGGTCCAGGTAGTTAGGCTGTCGTCATTCCCACAATGGCGCTAACGCTCCTTTCTACCTGCGGCGTCGACAAAGAGACCAAAAGAAGAAAACTCCACCAATGACCACAGTGCACTTTGCACTAGAATTGCACGGGGCACAAAAATAGGGCCCTTGATAACTACACTGAAATAAATGATGCGTTGAAATTACTCCGTTTTATTTTGTCAGTGGTTGCACAAAATAAAATGGAGCAAATTCAACAAAAACTTTTTTTTTTTTAACCTGTACATCCAAATGACAAAGCTAGCGGGCATGAAATAATGAAGTAGTTTCGCTGAGTCCCGGTCAACTTTGAGTTTCCGTATCTTCAGCAAGGGAATTGTGACGGCACGAACAGTGTGGATGCAGAGGAGTGGCTCTTGACCCCTGTTCCAAGGGACTACACTGCTTTAATACACAACAGTCAAACTGGTAGCAATATTTATTTTGAAAAGATGAAGAGAGGCTTCAAAGTGCCTTCCCCCGCCCCGCAACGGCCACATTTACCACAGCTAATATCCGCATGTTGCAGCTCTAACCTTTGACCCGAGCTCTATGAGTTGGCTGTAGCATTGTTGATCGAGGATTTGCAGCTCCCTGTTGTGCCATAGTCAGTTCAAAAAGTCATATCGGCGAAGAGCGAGTGCAATGAAATAACGATTGTCATCCCTGCGCGGCCACATACATAATCTTCGCGCTCCAATGACCACAGCTGATCACCTCCTTCAACGATATTCAGTCGTAGGAAGTTACACACGTGTATAGGTGCTGTACTGTTCTGTTTTGTCTTGTTTTTTTAAACACAGACAACATGCCGTGATTGTCAAAAGAATTAGATTGCCGCGGCCACCGTAGCTACATTATAATAATAATAAAAGGTGAAGGAACAGGTGAGAAATAAAGGAGAGGAGTGTGGCCATTTTACATGCTGTTGGCAATCGAGCATGTTTTCCTTGACTTTCGGGGTCATTCACCTGACGGCTTTTTTCGAGTTTGGAAAATGTCGTTGGGGAAAAATACCGACCACGGCAATAACAATCTGTTCACTTCAAGGGAGGATGTGCACAATTGCTCTTGTGTGCTGACATTTTCTGATGAGAAAGCAAGAATCCGGGAGTGGATTGTACATGTTGAACAAATAACCACAGCGAGCATGTTGCGCATGCAAAAGTCAAGCGGCAAAGCAAAACAAGCGCCACAAGACAGCAGGATGCTGGCCAGTGTGTGTCTTCATACTGCCGATTTTTAACACACATGGCATGAAAGCGCTTCGCCCCAACCCCCCTCCTTCACGGAAGGCATTTCCTGTTAATCTATATAATCAAACAACAGCCGTCAAAACCAAGCGACCCCTGCCATCGGGTCGATGGGCAGAAATCGAGGAATCAAAGAACAGTGCAATTGTGCAGAGATAATCTCATCTGTCAGAGCTTGAGCACAAACTGCATATATCTATATCCATATATCTACACGCACACACACACACACACACGCAAAAGTAGAACATCATGGTCATGTTAAAAATCTCAACAAAAACTGCCACCACAATCCTAAAAACATTGTGTTTTGAAACCTTGATTTATATTATCGGAAAAAAATGCGGATTTCCCACAAAAAAAAAAAAAAAATTCAAATAGACCTTGATATTTTCACACTACATTATTTTTTCTAAGCACACGCCACGGTTCTTTTTTTTTCAGTAAAATAAACATTTATTGATTTAATTTTTTTCTTTTAGTCGTGAGAGAAGACACGTATTTGTTGGCAGGGCAATTGAATCAGTTGATGTGAGCAAACCACGACTAAGTACAGCACAAATAACTGGAATACACGTCATCTAATTTAAAATTGAATTTGTGTAGGTTATGCTTGCCAAAGTCAAAATACTAGCACTACAATTGAAAGAGGTCAAAAAATAAATCCCACGTCTGATTGTTTTGGATTGAACAACAAGCCTTATTTGAACAGTTTTGGCTTCATGTACCACACGGATTATTGAAGCAAGCCACACTTTTTACTGTACTTTTTTTTAAACATACGTTTCAACATGATCATACCATAACATAGAGTAACATCATTTGAAAACCCCAAATATTTGAAGAGCGTTAGCATTTGACAAATGTCCATCCTGACTACAAATCAAAATTGATATTTAACTGCAGATAACCACATCCACCAATGACTTGAAATCAAACAATTTTCCTCCCCACATTTCCTTTTTGATTTTAGCATTTTTTTTCTTCAATCAGATTTATTGCTGAATGCTTTGTTTACTTTATTCAATTGTAATCCATAATTCTCTTTCAAATATATCGATCTTTTTTTTTTTTTTTGCTGGTCATAAAAAAAAAATACAACGTGCTAAAATGAAATGAAAATACATGTGCAGCATTGCTTTCTTTACTCTACATGGTTGAGGAAGTAAGTCATCATTAGATGCAAAAATAATTCTCATTTATGTGTTTTGCACTCAGAAACCCAACACTATTTTATGACTCCAAAAACAAATGTGCCTTTTTGAAGAGAAAGGTGAAATAAACCTTGCCTTCACTGAGTGAACATCACAAAACTGCTTGTACAGCACAACTAAACCTCAGCAATATCACTTAATGCTCCTTTTGGTACATTTCACCACCATGCTCACGCCTCTCCAACAACATCTTAAAACGAAAAAATAAACACACACACACAAAAACTCACAATAAAAAAAAAAAAACCCTGAACCTTTTATAGGGTCCCTGCTGCTGTGGCTGTCCCCTGCAGACAATGAGGGGTTGTTGTTGGGACACAAACCAGGTTCCTCACTAGAGGGGGCCCCAGACCAATTGAATTGACAACCTTTCTGTCACAACCTCCTGAGCCCCTCAAGCAAGCTGAATTTGTTTCGATAACAACCCCCCCCCCCACCCCCCAAACACACGTCTATCTATCTCCCCCACTCAACTAAAGTAATACAGTGGCCGCTCAACGATTGAATCAAGCGTGGCTCAATCTTATAGTAAGCAACAAATCGCTCGAATAGACTTTTCAACGACGACGGTGCACTGTCATTTAGTGCGAGCGTGTCTTCGGTGGGGACATATTGTGAGGTGAACGGTGTGTTTGGAGGGAAATCCTCTGACCTGGTCATTCCCCATCGATCGCCTTTTTGTTGATCAATAATGGTAAACATAATGGCGTGTAATTCAAAGTACATTTAACGGGTTCACGAGATCGTTCTTGTTTCTTTTCCTTTCCCCTCATTGGCGACACGTGTACACAAATCCAGCCAAACGCATCGACCGTATTTGGACGGTATTCGGAAAAAGAAGTCGTGGATTTATGTTTTGCTAAATTCTCGCGCAAAGCAGAGCAAATTCAGAAAACGAGGTACCTGCCAATCTGAGAGCCGACATCCTCTGGAACTCAGGCTCCTGCAGCCACTTCCACATCCGCCTGAAGGTCTCCCTGCCCGACTTTAGTTTACTCCAGGGTTTGGGGTTCCTCAGCAGGTCCGACAGGGTCCCCTGGGAGCGACACAGGACCCTCTGGGCGAAGATGGCCTGGGGAATGCTGTACCTTTTCAGCTCGGCCGTGATCCTCTGCGCCACCTCCTTGGTGTTGATCTCCTCCAGCTGCCCCGAACTGTTGCCCCCCTGCGTCCCGGAGGAGGAGGGCGGTCTTTCCCTGGTGGAAGCCAACACGGGCCCATGGGACGGAGAGTGGAGGTGAGGGTGGGGGTGCTGTCCCGCCGACGACACCGCATGTCCCGGGTGGTGCATCCCGTTCAGGTGCGGCAAGATGCCGCCCGCCGGGCCGCCGAGGCCTCGGTGCTGGTGGTGGTGGTCCGCTCTGGTGAGCATAGAGGCGGTGGGGTCGAAGTTGAGCATCTTGTCGTGACCTCCGTGCGTCGCGGTGCCGTAGTTGTGGAGACCCTGCTGGGTGTTGTGGAGAGAGCCCAGGCCGTTACCGAGCACCGGGGAGAGACTCTGACCCATCCCGGACATGGGATCCTTGTGGTAGGGGTTGTACAGGTTGTTCATGCCCGGCAGCCCGCGCTCGTCGCGCATCAGAGTGAAGCTGCCGCTGACGTTGCCGGAAAGCCGCTGGTGATGGTGGTGGTGATGGAACTTGTCGGACACGGTGGAGATGGGGGGGAGCGGCTGCAGCGGGGTTAAGGTGGTATAAGTGCCGCTCATCCCCATCCCGGGAGAGGACGTGTCGCAGGGCACGCTCATGGCGTGGTGCAGCGGCAGGGACAGATCCGGACGGTACTCCCCGCTGCCGTCCAGTATGCTGGCCATGCCGGACACCATGGCCGAGCGGGATGACGCGGCAGCGGCGGCCAGGTCCTGGTGTATCCGCAGGGCAGCCGCTGCCGCCGCCCCGTGGCCCCCCACCGCCCCCGAGGAGCTCCCGCGGCCGTGGTGAGGGCTGTGGCCGCTCATCAGCTCCACGTCAGGGGCCACGGAGCTCACCGCCACCCCGCCGTGCAGGCTGCCGATGCCGTCCATTGTCATGTCCGGATTCATGGCGTACGCGTCCAGGTCCTTGGCCAGGCATCGATAGGCGTTAGTGTAGGCAGTCTTCATTCATCTGTCGTCAGTCCATCAGGTCGAGCGGAAATATGTCTCCTTCTTCGCTCCTCTCCTCTCCTCTCCTCCTCTCCGCCCTGATGCGCCGGGATGGGTCAGGAGCCGTATCCCCCCTTTTCCCCTTCACTTCCTCGCTTCTCTTCCCCGTCCTCCGATGGCCTCTCCGCTCTGCTCTCTTTGTGTTTCTCTTCCCCGGTGGCTGCACATCCAAATCGTGTTGATCTCGATCATACGGGCCTGTGCGGCGGCTCCCCCATGTCCAGCCCTCTCCTCCTCCTGTGGTGCTCTGCCCCTCAGACGGGAGCTGTCCACGGTCCCCTTGTGGACCGCTCAACCCAACCTGCTGCCGAAGGGAGGAGTGGAAATGAGCAGATCTTAAATAGGGGCGGCACCCTTTTTTGACTGAGCGGGATCTTAACCAATCAGATACGTTCGAGGACGTAGTGGGCGGGACGTGCACGATTGTCCTGGGTGATGATGATCCGGTTGGGATAAATAAATTAACTCGCTTCATTTTTTTTCAATAGTACGGATGAAACTTGTAGAAAAGTAAATTAATTACATTATACGAGGGCACTCACACCGCACAGAACATAATAAATATTTAAATTGTATTTTAAATCACATGCTCATTTCCGTTACAAAGCTTTAGTCCACCATTCCTGTTTATTAATTGCTTCTATCCGAGCTACCCATGAACATGTTAAAAGTAGTTACACTTGTTGGTCACACGAAAACATTGAATCAGAATCAAATAAAAGAGCTGCACGGAAATCCTACTTAACAAGAGAAACAAAGCTCATGAAAGGTTGCAGTGGTGAGGGACTGCCGCTGCAACATCGGGATTGTTTTTTTTTTTAATTTGCATGAATTTGCCACGCAACACTGCAAACCACAATCATTAACAATACACATAAATACCTTGGAAACTGTCAGTCAAAATGTATTATCTGTGCCAAGGCAGACATTTTGATGCAGCTCTTTCTCTTTACTGTATCAGAGTGCAGGCCAAAGGCAGTTGGTGTGCAGTAAATGGAAAAAAAATATAGGTAGTCTCATAAAAATCAAGCTAAAGGACAGTTGTAATAAAAAATGACCTGGAGTCTTGGAATTTCCATAAATGCATGAACAATACATTGATACTGTAAAATCTATGTAAGGGTAACAAAGCTTTGGTGGGACACACACACACACACACACACACACACACACACACACACACACGGACACACACACACGGACACACACTAATCTGCAAGGTTTTTTTTGTAATGGGCTGAGGGTGCTGTTTGCCTCGGCTGTTGCTGCAGCTGCCAGGGAACAATTTGCCCACAGGGATCATTAAAATTTGATCTCATTTTAGCTCTTACCTCATCACCCTCTGCCTCTGATTGTTAAGATAAAGGTGGCAGGAAGCAGAAAGCGATACAACCAGCCTAAAACCGATATTCCTGAAATGCTGCTGCATTCTCTTTGTGCTTCTTTACGCAATAGCTTAAAATACAAACAGTGAAATCAAATACAAGTGTTCATGTTTGAGTAGGCATACCAGGTAAAAGTGCTTATTTTGATTATAAGCATGCTTCAACAAAGCAAAAAATTGATAGAACAGTAATTTGATGAATGTGTTGCGTTGTGTCAACCAAGCAAATTGACTTTAAACTGTGGAGTAAAAGTTTGAAATTTGCTTTAAGTGATCTCAAGGCAACGGAACATTTTTGTTCTTCGGATCGAAAGAAGGAAAATAAGGAGGGGAAAAAATTCTACAGATGTGGGGAGGGGGGGGCGATCATGTGGAGGTTTTGTTTTCTGAACTATGGTGAGTACAGTACTTTGTGACGCTTTGAGCAGTTAGCACAGTTGGAATGGTAAGTGCAAACTGCTGCCGTGTCAATGCCAATGTCATTGGCAGTCTCGGGGCGGATGGAGGAGTGCGCAAGCTCCAATGAAAGAGGATTATGGCCTGTAGCCTTTTCACTGCACAAATCATTGCACTTCCAAGGACAAATAAGAGCAAAATAACTCAGTCCCAGCTCCCCTCCTGCCATCATTTTGCAGGCATAATGGATAATACAAATTTGAAATGACTATCAGTGCACGTGATCACAAATATTTACTTTGACCATACAAAATATGATGTGACCACCTTTTGTGAAAATGTGCAGTCACCAAGATTGTCAATTTAAAAAAAAAAAAAAATTTCTAATGAGGTGTTATATTTTACAAACAGTTTCTTTTAGTTATTTGCAAGACGGATTCATGAAACTCCTTTGGGAAAAAATCCATCTGGCCTGTAAAGCTTAAGACCCCCCCCCCCTCCCCACCACCCCAAACTAAAGCTTTCCATGCACAGCATTGCCCAAAGAGTTCAACAGTTGATCAAAGTGAGTCACTAAAACTAATGAGATAAACTATAACCTGCAACGTTACTGTGGAAAATAAATACCACGTTAAACTGTTGAGGCTCAAGAATGGCGAGAGCTCACTTTAACTATGCAATGACACACTTAGCACTGCACGCGTCTCTGAAAGGACACTCAGCACGCTGACAACAAATGATTTAATGGGATGCGCTGTATCTATTTGGAAGTGAACTCTGACTATAATTTTCCACCAATTGTTGCTCTTTCAGTGCATTTTCCTGGAAAATTGTCATTCAAACAAAAAAAATAAAAATTACCCCTGTAAAACCGGGCTTGGGTGATAAGAAGGATGATGAAGGACTTAAAAAAAAAAGACAAGATGGAGGAGGAGTAGCAGGGTGGGTAGTTGGGCAGATGTTGCTTTGTTTAAAGACTGTTGTGTAATTAAGGGCAGAGGAACAGAAGCCTGACCCATTTTCTTCTTTTGATCAGCTGTCAGAGGGGCAGGCAGGGGGTCTACTGAGGGGCAACCTGTCTATTTCCTCTTCAAAAGTTTTGTCTCTCTTGCAGACGAAAGACGGCAGCCGGTGTTGCGCATTCATTCAAAACGACTTGGTCATGAGGAAAAGAGGAGTAATATCAAAATGTTGAGGCGGTGGGGAGAAATGTCACGGTGAAATGTTAAAAAAGGACCACGGGTGCTGACGAAGTGGGCAAAAATGGAACAGGAAGAAGACAGAATGTCAGTAAAAGGCTCGGGCAGATAGAAGTCAAACGCTGAAAAGAATGAAGAGGGTGACGGTACGATGCAGTAGGCGGCGGGGGCACTGGAAGGTGGACGCGGGGCTTGTAGAAGGCCCAAGCACGAGGAGCTGAGGAGGAGCAGATGTTGGGGGAGGAAAAAGAGGCAGAGAAGGAAGTGGCCGAGGTTGGTTACAATCTGGCGGCAGAAACAAAATTGCTCATGGCGCACCCAAGCGAGAACTGAAGCTGTTAGCTTCTCCCCTGACAAAACGCAACGGGGAACCCGGCTGGTTGCTTTCTACTCATCGGTCGCAGTGGAAAGATTGTTTTGATCATTGTCTATACATACATTAAGTCAGATGTATAGCAATACGTTTTAAAACAGATTTTATATTTGTTGCATTCAATTAAAACATGAAATTGTGTCGTACTAACTTTTTAAAAATATCACTATGGTAGAATTAATCATTCGATCATTTCTTTTATTTCTGGACTACTACAGTATCGTGAGACGTGTGGTGTTCAAGTATATTGTAGCCCGTACGGAGCACGGGCAGCTTCCAGTCTGCTCAGAGAGAAGTCATTGGATAGGGAAGTCAATCTTTGGTCACTTTGTTGCTACTTGCAGACACAAAGGCAGATTAGCTGGCGGACTGTTGAGATAATCAATAGCCTGTTTATTTACACTCAGTTTGGAGTCATGTTGCTCAACCACGGATGAGGAAAAATAACTGCATGAACATATTGCGATCGCAAGCGTTTCTGCTTCAACAATTAGTTCGACTTCATTTGGAATGAGAAGCGCCTAAATCAACCCGCAGCTAACTCACGCCGCGACCACTACCGTGACAAGTAAATTGAATTAAAAAAAATAAAAATAAAAATAAAAAAATAAGAAAATGAGACAGAGGTCATGTGCGTCCTGGTGAGTTGCGTTCAACGTGGCTCAGCACAAGCGGCATGTTGTGAAATGAGAATCAAGCTGTGGGACGATCGGACATTTTATCCTCCTGCTCTGTGCTCTCTCTCTCTCTCTCTCTCATTCTGTCTCCGTGTCTCCCTGTCCCGGGCCATCTGCTGTGTACTGAGCAGCAGTATTGATCTGCAGCTTTGTGCTGGAGACCACATGCTAATCTATAGCGTTAGTGACAAACAGCGCTCCGCTTTGCCTCGCATCTGTCCCACTGACTCTCTCTCTCTCTCTCTCTCTCTCCTCTCCATATAACCAGTGTGGTCCTACCTCCTCGAATCTCTTCCTCGCGATCCTTCTCTCCCTCAATGACCGAGCATTTTTTTGGGGATGGGGAGCCATCTGTCCGGCCCGTAAACTCATCTTCCTCCTCCTCCGGCAGTGGTTGGGTGCTGCACGGTGAGTTCTGTTGCATGTGTTCTGGGTTTTTGCCGGCAGCCATTTTCAGTCTCGGTGTCATGAGGCTGGAGGGCCAGACCAGGTCAAAAATTAAAAAGAGAAATAGTTATGTCAAGTTTCATTGTGCACAGATTCACAGAGTGCAACTTCAACTGTCAATATTGCTTTCAGTCCGAATAATTACAATCCAATGGACAGTCGATACACAATTTTTGATGTATATGCAATGTAAGAAAACAAATGAATAAATACATTTTGTATATATCTCATAAGGTCACAAAAAAGTCTAGTGACTACAGTATATGAATTGACTGAATAATTCTCATGCAGAGCTTTAGGCCGATTGAGTGACCAACATTACACTTGTCAAATTTGATATGTACATCGAATCCAAATCTACATGCAAATATATGCTGTATTAAAAAGGTTTTAGAAACATTTCAATACACCAAGAAACGAAACTACAAGCATTGGCTATCTGAATAAAATGTAGCTGGGCATATCATGCGGAGGGTGACGTAGACCACAGCGCGCGAGCACGCACACACACACACACACACACACACACACAAAAAGACCTCATTCACTGCAGAATAATAAATTATGGTGGTACATGTATATGTTGGTATTCAGTGTTGTAAATGATCAATGCATATTGTCACTCGGTAAATTGACAAAGGCATACTGCAATAAGTGGCTCGAGGTGTTTGAATCCATGATTTAAAGCAAACCCACACTTCTCATGCACACAGAACAGGAAGAGTGTCAAATAGTCAGAGCAGAGCATCATCGAGGTCATCCTTCGTCCTTGGTTTGGAGAAGAATAAAATCAAGAAAAAGCTCCACTTGTATTCTTGCTCCATCTGATGCCACCTTCCTCCTCGCAGCGCCTCCTCTCCCTCCTTTCTTCGCCTCGATTCTTTTCAAACTTTTCAGACCCGCTGGCTCTTTTGTTGAGGTTCTGTTGGCCATGAAATCGGCTATTAATGAGAACACAATGGCCGCGTGCAGAGCCGCCCGCTGTATTCAAATGTGACCACACGCCATCATCTCTGTGTGTCCAACTCTAAATAAACACTCACTCAAACAGCCACTCATCTCTGTCGATGAATTAGCGCGCCGGTTATTCTGAATTCTTCAACTTGGGAAGCTGCAGCGCAGGGGTACGGATGCTCTCGGAAAAGATTCCATTGTGGGACGGTTAGGCAAGCCTTTTTTTGGTTTGTTTGTTTCTTTGTTTTGCGAACATGTCAACATATATATATACTACTCCTAGATATTTTCTGGTCTTAAGTTTTTGCCTAAATCGTGACTACTTTCCCTGCGGGATCCCATTAAAGGTGCGCTATTTCCAACTTTCTGCCCTCAGAAGCTAAACTATAATAATATTCTTCAATCTGAATAGTTTTCACATTTTAGACCGTTTCAAGGCTTGCCATAACCCCAAAGTTCAACACACTTTGGACTCAACCAGTTCCGTGCACGCATGCAGATACGGCGGCGAGGTGCGCGCGAGTAAACATTGGCAAGAGCATGACCACAGGCAGAAAGAGCGCATGCTAATTTCAATCAATATGAGTGATGAATTTCCACGGGAGCTCCGTTTCCTTCCACGGAACATGCGCGGTGATCTGAGGGCAGCTTTTATTTCTCATTTGTACACGCCAGGCGTCGATGGCAAGCATGTGCATGCGTGTGTGTGAAGACCACTCTGGTTTTGGCTTACAAATGCGGAGCGGGGCTTCGCCAGGAGCACGTTTTTGGGCAACGCACAATTTGACAGGTTCACAACACACAACACAATTATTATTGTTATTATTATCATAGATAGACTGTTGTTATTCATTAACAAAGACTGAAAGGTGCGGCGTAACGATTGGGACGCCTCCCCTTTACATGATTATTTCATGTCCTCTGGAGTGTGATTCTTTTAATCATAACGTTTGATTTAACCTATTGATTTCCTCTCTGCCTCAAGAGCGAGACTGGGTGCGAGGGCCGCCGCCGCCGACCCAGGTGGGGGTCTTTTGACTTTTGAAACTTCGGATCAAAGAGGTGGATAAGAAGGAGAAGAAAAGGAGCATCAATAATTCACAACAACTACGCGAGACCGAATTCGAAATGACAGCAGATTAGGGGAGCTGATGAGGTCGAGCGAAAATGTAACACTTGGGTATTGTGTGGATTTGTACGGGATCTTAATGGATGTTTTTCTTTGTCAAGCAATGTGTCGGATATAGAAGAATTATTTGCATATTTTAAATATCTGTACATCTTAACAACAGCGTCGCTCTCACTGAACAAAACTGAAGTGCCACCTAGCGTTTGACTCCTCCACTTTTCTTTTGTTGCAAGATGGCGACATAAATCAAAAGGAGCGACGGGGTCAAAGGTCAAGGGTCGGTCTCCCCTGGCACACGCCTTCTGACCTCTCCTTTGCGTACACGCTGACCTACATTGCACGGCTTTTTTCCCCTCTTTTCTTTTTCTGCCAGAATGTATTTGATGGTTTTAAGATCACATTCATTTCCTGGTTCTCTTTTTTTTTTTTTAAATCAAATAAACATGTCAGCTCACACAGCCAAACACTGAAACAGAAAACGCATTGCGCCTTAATATCTTCATTAAAAATTTCTTACATTTAGTGATAGGAATAAAAAAATAAAAATAAAACATCTAAATGTGATTTACAAATCATTTTTACTCTTAAACTACGTCATCAAAATTATGAACCTAAAATTGTACTTTAAATCTACAGTAAGATGATCATGGAACTGCAATGAAAAAAAAATACATGTGCTGAAAGCAGTAATTCTCTGTCGCTTAAGGTGATATTGCACTACGAGGGCACCCGGCTGAATTGCAAACAGTCCATTTGGTGGCCTATGAGACAGTGTGCCGTGTTGTTGAATGAAATTGTGCCTCAGTAAGATGATCATGGAACTGCAATGAAAAAAAAAATACATGTGCTTAAAGCAGTAATTCTCTGTCGCTTAAGGTAATATTGCACTACGAGGGCACCCGGCTGAATTCCAAACACAGTCCATTTGGTGGCCTATGAGACAGTGTGCTGTGTTGTTGAATGAAATTGTGCCTAACCGTAAACACACACACACACACACACTCTGAGTATTAATTCACCTAAAAAAATAAAATAAATAAAAAGACACCACTCGTTTTTAAATGGACAATTTCAGTCAATTTAATCTCTGAATGACGAATAAAGTGCACATGTTGAATCTCATCTCATGAACACATTGCAGCGGACAAGATCGAGATTTTGGAGTGCGTTTGTGGGGTTTGTTTTGTCTGTTTATCCAGAAGAGCGGTAAGGTCAGAGCGTACCCGTGTCTCTGCTTGCGTCAGTCAAAGGTTCTTCCGCATCAAAGTCATTCAAGCGTGCCCTGATGGACCTTGATTTATACACTGGGACACGGACATGTTGGAGCAAAAAACGGCCGTGCCCGTGCTGCTACCTTAAAGTTGGAAGAATAGGAGGGTGGAAAACAGAGCTGCCAAGCTCATTTTTGTCGCAGGCCACATGATAGCTTCTGGTTCCCTTGGGGAGCCGTTATGACTGTGAAACCATATGAAGAAGTCAAGGATGATGGTGTATTAAGTTATTAAGTTACTGTAATGAGGGTTTTGGTAACAGGAAAACTTACACTAGCTCTCTTATATATTACATACGAGAATTTGAAATTTTGATCAAGTTTTAGCAAGCATCACAGAAGTTGACATGTTTGATTTGCTTTCGCGGGCCACATCAAATGATGTGGCGGACCAGATCTCGCCCCCGGGCCTAGAGTTTGACACCATCGGTCTAAAACATCAACTTGAGATAAGGGACGTGTCGAAATACTTTTTGGTTGTGTCTTGCGATAACAATCACCGTCTTTCAAAGAATGGCGCTCATTTTCTCTGCTCCCGTGGCCCAATCCTCTGCAAAAAAAATCCTACTTGGCCCCAGTGAAGGGAAAGTAGATTTTTTTTTTCAAACTTACAATTCAACCAACAAAAAAAATCTCACACCCAGTTCCTCAAGTTTTTTTTTTTTGCTCGGTGGAGGGAATACCACATTGATAGGATATGGACGATCCACGTGTGGCGATAAATGTTGAAGGACTTTGCATATCTTACTGTGGAAAGACGACTGATTCGTGTACCCTCATGTATGTTTTAAGCATTAATGACGCCCTTACGGTCACGTGAGTAACAGAATTTGGACCCAGATGTGGACAGACCACGCAAGTGGCAAAGAAAAAAAGCTTTATCAACAAAAATACAAAGTAGCAACAGAGCGCAGGTGGAGGAGGCGGGGGGGCGGCGACTGTTGTGACTTTGTCTTAGGTTCGGTTCTTGATGTCAGTAGCTATGGTGCTTTCTGTTGTCACTTGCATTTTGTTAGGTAGGATTGGGCATGACCTGATGTCTCTCAGTGTTTGAGCCCAAGTTACTCAGTGACACGTTGTCAATTTGTATTTTTCTATGCAAAGACTTTTTCCACTTTGGTGTCCCCTCTCGCTTCTGGGTTGGTCCAAATTCTGCCCCTCACGTGATACTTTAGAGAACGCACTTGTGACGTTTTACTGAACCGCAGCATGACGTCGGGAGCGGCAGCCCTTGAGTGTCGTGACTGACAACACAACGAAGACAGTCCTTGTTTCTACAGCTTTAATGCATGGCCGCCACAGCTTGAGAGAGATAGACTCTTGTTCCTAAAATAGCGCCAGAGTCCATTGCGTCTCCTTGCCGAGGCCGTGCCGTTGTGAAAACCACATTGATCAGTCCTGGTCCGACTGGTCCTTTTTGTGACTTTGGAAGCTCCGGTTGAGACAATTGAAATACCTCCTGCGGTTTCATGTCTAAGCGCAGTGGGAGAGGCTGAGCTTCAGCAGCCCTTCTGTGTGCATCTTGTAAAGGAGTTTGAACTCAGCGGGCAACTGATGGGCCTCCTGCCATTTGGTGGTGAACTTGGTGCCCTTCTTGTCGTAGTAGTGATAAGGCAGTTCCTTCCCCGTGTTGGGGTCCCACCCGAATGGCCAGAAGCCGTACAAGTGGATCTGGTCGCACATGGACGATGCCAGCGTGTACATCAGGATGCCGGTGCTCAGGCGCTTTGGCGACAGCTGTTTGGTTTTCCAATAGCTGGTGAGTCCATTTGAGAAGAGAAATTAAAAAGAGCGGGTCATGAGACTGCAGACCATGACACAGAAAGGAATGCATCACGTGACTGTGGCGCGATTTATCGTGTTCAATGCAGCCCAACTAGTCTAAATGCAGTATCGTGACTAATATTGCAGTAATAAGAATTAAACAGCAAAATCCACCCATTTTTTATCCATTTCAGGAGGCGGCCATTTTGCCACTTGATGTTGACTGAAAATGACATCACCGTTGCTCAGGTAAGAACCAATCACAGTTCAGCTTGCGAATGTCACATGACCAAACTGAGAAAACAGGCCGGCCGTAATTGGTTGTTGCCTGAGCCCTGAGCGACTGTGACATCATTTTCTGTCGACAGCGATGGGCATCATGGCCGCCCCTGAGATGGATGAAAACTGATTGAGTTGATTTCCCTTTGAAAAAAAACAAACAAAGATGCTGTGTTTTCAGCACAAGCTTGCTGAATCAACAAAGGCTATCTCAATCTAGATTATTCTTTTTTTTTTTTTTTTTTTAGCAAGAATATCAAAAGCATGATCACAAATTAATATTTGGAAGATCATTAACCAAATATCTGATCAGCTCTTTTAGGTGGCATATACGTATGGTCTTCAAATTCTTTCTTTGGTATTTTGCTGTATGTGCGTCACATCGATCATTTTAAATCACACTCCTAACACATCGCCCAACTATCACCATCCTTGCAATTTGCATTTCGTTACATTTTAAACATTGAAAATCAACTAATAATGCTGTATACCATAATTGAGGTCAAATAGAATTCTTCGATGGATTCGTTATAGCGGCGACGACTATTGGCGTCCTTCATCCTCCGCAGGCCGCTGCGCTCGCGACTCGAAACTCCTCAAACGGGCCTCAACAAAAGGCGCTCAGCGAGCGGTTGAGGTGCTAAAAGCCAGCCTGAGCTGCTTAAACGTGCTAAGACTTCCCCAGCAGGTAGATTTAATGGGCTTGCTGAAGATTAGGCTACTGTAAGAGTGGCCCATTCTGCTACTACAACACTAACAACTGGACTTAAATCCCTCTCTCCGGTTTCAACTCTGTGCCATGCCTTTCACTAAATTGTAGTTTCCTTATAATCTGGCTTTGGAGTTTAAATCTCCCCCTTTGCCACACGCACGCGCATGTGCGCACACACACACACCCATCTACAAACACTATAAAAAGACGTCAACATGTGGTCTGCAGGTGTTAATGATAATACACAGTGACAAAATGTCATCTTTGTCGCGAATGCTGTTAAACAAGGAGTAAGAATCAAGAATACAAATAACGCTTATGGACAGATCTCATTTTTCCTTGAGAAGATTATTTTTCAACCAAAACGTAACGTACCTTGGGAACATGGTTGAAATTGTTGTTATAGTTCATTTTTATTTTGTTTTGACTGGTTTTCCCCAGTTCGTTTTTAAAGCATTTAAAAAAATAAAATGCTCATTTTTTAGGGGGGTAGGGGAGGATGTAGTCTCGAGTGTCTTTAGATGTGAGGGTGCATGTCTTACTTGTTAATGTGCTGCATGATGTTTCCAGGCCAGGCCAGCTGGACTTTCAGCTGACCGCGATGTTCCACAAAGAAGTCCACCAGAGTCCTGGTCACTGTGGCTGACGTGTGGAAGAAGAATGCCGGGATCCACAGAATTGCCCCATCCAGCTTCTTCAAGCTCAGGAAGAAATTATTCCTGTCCTGCACCGTCAACAGATTGTTGTAGTACTTCTCTAAGATGCTCGGGTTGAAGGTTGTCATATTTGTGCGCCGCCCGACATCTCGCTTAAAGAACTCCGTTGGCGCAAAGTTGCAGCGGAATACAAAGTCAAACTTCTCAATCTGATCGCCGCAACGTGAGCCGGTGAGGATGCCGCTGTTGCCCACCACCGCGCAGACATTGTAGTGCTTGTTCAGAATCGGCGACACCTCGGGGAGGAGCGAGCGGAAGTTCTCGCCGATGGAGTAGACGTACTTGTGGCTGGAGTAGGCGTAATGCATCAGCTGGCCAATGCGGACTAAGCTGCGCGTTAATGAGAAGTTGTGAGGAATGTCGACATATTGAGAGATTTCCTTCCTGAAAGAAGCGAGGCAAACATGGACAATGTTTCATCACCAAAACTCTTGTTTTTTTTTTTTACCTAAATCTGCCAGCTGCTAAATTCTTGCTAAATGCATATCACTGATTGTTGTTGACATTTTATTAGAAATGGTTATGGCGAACTACCGTCATAACGTCCAGATTCGTTATGTCCCTCGAGGTACGTCGCAATGAGATTCGACTGTTTGTATGTCCAAGTATATATGCTATAATGATGTCATCATGTTATTTTACACGGACGTACGTACCTCTGTTGGATAAATGCTGTGCTGTTGTATCTCCATTTTGAGGAATTCTTGAGGTCTTCGCTAAGAGCATCGGTCAGCGGCGTGAAAACTGGATCCAGATACTTTTGTGCCAATTGGGAGCTAGACAAGGGGAGGGCAAGAGTATTCAAAAAGTTTAGATGAGAGCAAGACAAATAAGCGCAGCAAAAATTGTGACCGCAATTTTGCGCACTGGAATGAAAACTGATCGAAAAACTCGGGAGGTGCGCAATGGCTGAGATGCGTACTCACCTGAGGTCAGGCTTGCGAGGCGGCCTTTCGCTGCAAAAGAAATATGAAAAAAATAAATAAATACAGACTCAGGAAGTCAAACGCAAACCCGTGAAAAAAGCAAATGACAGTATATTGAAACATGCCCCCATGACAATTTCAATTTCAGACATTTGAATACGAATCCGTTTCTGCATCGCTACTCGCGAGTGATATCGTGCAAAGCAATCCACTCTCGATCGTAGTTGCGTATATCGCCAACCGCTACAGTTGAGCCATAGCTCATTTGACGTCACTCACGCGATTCATTTTTGGTTGCATTCATCATCCACCGGTCACAACAGCAAAACGGCGCCGCCGCCGCTTTCTCAGACTTGTGCGAGAGGAAACGCGAGTGTTTGTCCACCGTCCAGCGAAAAGACCTTCAAGTCTAACTCACTCAAAGCATAACCTCGGCCCACCGTGACAGCCAAGCAAGAAGGAAAATGATTACAGCAGGAGGGAAATGAATGGAGTGCCCGTGCTCTCAATCAGAGTCAAGGGCAGTTTGCTGACTTCCAGAAGCTTTGCTAGATCAACTGTGTTTTAGCATCGCACTCTTGACCGCACATGAAGGATTTCAATGGAGGTGGACTGCAAATGGCCCTGCTGAACCCGTGCTGGGACAGTTCCTCTTTGGACAGGAAAGTCTTTCATCTGAGAATGCGGAGCATACACGGCATCATTTCAAGACAAGAGAGAAGGAAGAAAATGGGAGAAACCTAAAGAGGTTTTGGAATAGCTTGAAAGGAAGTTCTTCAATCAATATGTTGTGATATGCAGACTCTTAATCTTAAAACAGTACCATTTAAAAAAAAAGTGGTTTAAGCATCGAAATCTATACATAGACTCCACTTTGATTTGCTTTTCTGGACATCAGAAATAAAAAAATAAAAAATAAATTTTAATCACTGCAATATACTGTATATTGTAACTGAGCAAGATTGTAAGCGTTGACTCGACTTGACTTCCTTGTGACTTGCACATTTGTGACGTCGGCCGACTCTCATCTCTGGTTCGCTGTACAGTAGTACCGATTCACTATCGCCGATGACCGATGCGGCATGCGGTCCGGTGTCTGCAGCCAGGCCTTGGTTTGAGGCTGCACCGAGGCCCTCAGCATTGGACACGAAAGGTTCAGCAAATCGCAACCGCAGTCAACATTCCCCAAATGAAATGACGCAAGCACAACCTTACCCGGAACTCACTCACCGATAGCCCGCGTGGAACATGTACATCCTCGGTCCTCCGTTCGGTCCATATCTGGGGGTGCCGAGAAGGAAGTCCTTCTTAATGGACACGTAGCTGATGAGGGACAGAATGAGCAGCGCCACACTGAACATGACAAGCCCCAGTGCGCTAGCGATGCGCACCATCCTGCCTCGGCGGCGTCAGCGGGTGGCCAAGCCCGGTACGAGGATGCGGGACGAGAGCGGAGGAGACGCGGACATGAAGAGCACAGCCGAGGAAGGGGGGGGGGGGGGGGGGGGGGGCGGTGATTTAAGGGTCTGTTTTATTGTTTATTATCTGAAGCAAGTTCAGTCTTGAGTACTTGTATTGCTCAGAAAATTGTTGTTACTGTTTTTGATATGTGATCTCGAGGCGTGTGCGAAAGGGGGGTGGGGGAGAGAAAAAAAAATTGACAGCATAGCAGAAATAAATCCCGGATAACCTGGTGGCGGTGAAATGACGCGACAGCGATGTCCTTTGCGAAGCATCCTCGGTGTCTGTCTGTCCTTCCTTCCTTCTGGGCTGGTGTCATTAATTAAGACAGCGTCAGCTTTAAAGAGATGCAGCTCTATTGCCACTCTCATCACACAAACAGCCTCCTTACGCCAGGCGGAGCTCCGTCTTCCGCACGTTGGAGCTGCAGGGACACTTCATTAGGTACAGCTGACATAAGAAGGACCGAAACTGGACCGTATATAAATCATAATAACACTCCTATTTACTTTTTTTTTAAAATTAGGGTAACGAGAGGCACAGTGGAGGATTACTCATCGCCGTACATGTACGCTCATTTACCGTTGAAAACATAGACTCTAATTGTGTTCAAAAGTCAAAAATGGATACACTTTCCGCCCTCTGGACATTTGACATGTTGTCAAATAAACTGTAATTGAAGTGGAAAGACCAAAAAAAAAAAAAAACCCAACAACTGTTTTTCGACTTAGTTTTCAAACGCCATGATTGTTTTCACCAAAAAGCGGGCAGGCAGACAACAATTGGCATAAAGACATCAGATAGGCAGGCTGTCACTGCCGCTGACATTTCATCAGTGACCTTTCTGCTGGTCTTAACGCTGGACTGAGCCCACACACACACGTGCGCAAGTCTTTAGGCTTTGTAAATCCTGTCAAACGGACACACAGATTAAGACCCTAAAGCCTAATATCTCCCATCTAATGTATCTTCCACTCTTCCAGCAACACTTGTGTGGCTTTCAGTGCCATTTAAAATCTTTTCAAGTGGAAACAAGACCAGCAAGAACTCACAAAGATTTGCAAACTCAACACTACAGTCGTTATTGTCGTATAACCATTTCTTGGAACGTAGGCTACTGCGTTCTTTTTACACTCAACTCTCAAATGTCGCTGCAATTGAAATGCGTCCGATCAAAGATGCGATATCTCGCATTTGTCTCGTCATTTACGGTAATTGGTTCACTCTCAATAGTCCTCAAGTGTGACTGCGAGTGTGAACGGTGCTTGTTCGTCAACGCGTGTCGCATAAATGTACCCCACCGACTGCCCAAAGACAGCTGGGACGGGCTCCGGCATGCCCTGCGATCCTCGTGAGGATAATGATGGAGGAACGGAATATGGAAAAAAATGTGAATAGTCTTCCCCACTGCACTTTTTGCTGCAAACTACCGTTTGTGTGTGTTTTTCTATTCATTCATCAGCATGTTCTCTTTATGCTTAGGTGGTTGGCGGTTAGAGGATCTCTGCAGCCTCACTCGCAGCGTGTCCAAGGTCACGTTGAAGACGCCAGATTTCATCATTCGTCATCCCAACCTCGAGATTGAACCTGTTACTGTGTTATCGATGAATCACATCACGCTTCCACGTTTGGATGGCAGGTGCGCTGTAGCCCATCCCAGCTGAGGCGCTAACCAATCGACTTTCGAATACCTGCGCCAGAGTAACAGGGAGAGAAAGGCAGAGCTGCTACCAAGCAACCCAGCTGACCAAGAAGGGGTGTCAAGGCTACAGGCAAGAAAAAGAAAAACGGAGCTGAGGATTGGGGGAAAGAACATAGAGTGAAAGATTGACGGAAGGAAAGCCGGCATGATGAGTTCTGAAGAAGGGAGGGCCCAGCGAGCATAAAGGGACGAGGATAAAGCGCTGGTCACAGCCCACTGATTGGAGTCGCTCAGGCCAATCAATTTGAGCAGGTGCGTGACCGTGGCGAGCCGGCATCAATCGCGCACACGTGCGCACAAAGGAATACTCGCTCATTACCGAGGAGTTTAGCCAAAAGCAGAACACAAATACGCTCTCTTTCAAAAAACAAGTGGAGAGCGAAGGACAGTTATGTCATTTTATCATGATTGACATTTCATCACCAAACACTGCCGTTGTTTTAACCCCTCATCTTTTGGTGCGATTAAAATTTGCGCAGTGTGACCACTGCGGCGTATTTTGTTTTTTTTACTCGGATCCAGACCAGACTCCACATGGCGAAGGCATGCTGAGCGAAAGCATGTTTTGCCGACAAGGGGCCACTGCCGCATCAGTCTCATGTGATAGATAGGTTGAAGCATCGCTGACAGCTGGGATTTTAAACAGGATTATCGGACCCTGAGGCTGACGTGATCCGGGCCCGCAGCCCCCCAACCCCCTGCCCCTTCGGAGCTGTCGCATCACCAAGCTAGTTTGGATCAGATTTCTCTCTCAATCAATGTGACTGTAGTTTGAAGATTCCTTTTTCAACATTTTCTGTGTGTCACATGAATAGTGATTAAAAAAAAAAAATGTTAATGTACACAAAAATCTGGGCTGGCCTTTGAGTAGATTGGGATCCTTTTTATGGGATGATTTATGTGACATTTGCACACTAAAAGTGTCACCTCCGTTGAAGGGGTAAATCTTTGGTCACGTATGTGGTGTCAAACATGTCACAGTATGATCGATTCATCTAATTAACTCTTCTGAAGCGTTCACCCTATAAAAATATCTGGGGAAAATAAGTCTGTATTTTTAGTCTTCTAAACAATATTTTATCGTCAAGACGATCTTTGTTCAATGAGGTCATGTAATATGTTTTTTTTTTTTTAAATTAAACCAGGACATCTTTGTTAACTAGATGGCAATTTAAGGAATCAATACCGCAGTTTTAGCATGTACATGAGAACATGTAGTCTTGTGTGCTGACCTCACACCTCTTCAGACGGAATCAACAAGCGCGGTCAGACACATGAGGCATCCCAGACTTCATCTCGGAAAATGAGAATCTGTGAGGTTGATTACGGGCCGATGAAAGTGAAAATGAAAGCAAATGTGATCAAGGGAGAGAGGGGTGATTGACACGGAACGGGAGATGGGGAAAATAGAGATGGGAGCCACTGGCACGGCCACAGAGGAGTCGATGCAACGCAACTCGCTTCATTTCCATCAACCGACCTATTTTCTAAAATCCCTCAAGAAACCTAGCGATATAAAAACACATCATCAATCTTAGTTACATCTGAATGCATAAAGAATTTAAATTAGACTGAGTGTTCAACGGACCGATCAGAAAATGGATATAAACGTGTAAGATTGCTCTCTTCACCTACCTTGAACGCTATAAAACAACATGATGCTTGACAAACACTTGAAAAGAACAATCGTCAATCAACGACTGTGTAATGTGGCCAGCAACGTTCTCAATCAATATCGACTCAAATACTCGTTTATACACGCCATAACCGTTGACAATGCAGAGTAGCTTAATGATTGCCTGTGACTCAGTGACACACAAGTCATTGTTTCCTTGCGGTTAACACGATCAGCCATTGCTGTCATCCTCGTTTACTTTCTGATTATTGCTATCACGGTGGATTCAAGAACAATGGCTACGCCCTCAGGACATCCAACGAACGACACGTTCTTGTCTGTCTCCATTTGACTGGATCACCCGATTGTGACTGTGTAGCCGGGGACCGGTTGCTTCATCGTGAATCATTCACTATTAAACATTCTGGAGATAAGTTACAGCTCGATGATATGGACTAGCCTAGCTAAAAGCTGGAAATGCCGCGCTTAAAAAAATGTCTACGAGGCTTGAAAGAGTATATTGACAACTAGTATGTGATCATGATTTCGTACGATGATGTGCAGTATACAGCATGAGACGATTGTTTGTGTGATTACTCTTTGTATGCTAAATCATTCACTATTAAACATTCTGGAGATAAGTTACAGCTCGATGATATGGACTAGCCTAGCTAAAAGCTGGAAATGCCGTGCTTAAAAAAAATGTCTACAAAGCTTGAAAGAGAATATTGACAACTAGAATGTGATCATGATTTCGTATGATGATGTGCAGTATACAGCATGAGATGATTGTGTGTTTACTCTTTGTATGCTCATAATTTATTGTTTTAATTGTCTTGGTTTTGGTATTTCGGATTTTCACTTGGGCTAGTTAGCATGGCCTCCCCTTGTGGAGTTTGCATGTTCTTCCCGTGCCTGCGTGGGTTTTCTCCGGGTACTCCGGTTTCCTCCCACATGGCCAAAACGGCCTCGGTAGGTTTTTGGGAACACCTTACAACATGGCAATGACTGTGACCAGTCTGCAAAATTCGACCAGCATTCGTTTGAGGAGCTCGAGCTGTCAGCTGGAGGGATGATTTAGATGTCAGGAAAACAAAGCCGCAAGCTTGTAAACAATGGCGACGCTCCCAAAGGTGGATACAGTCATGGCAGCGGTTTAATCAGACGATAGGTCAACATTGTTCGCTTTTCTTCAGAAAAAAAAAAAAAGGCTCTTTTGTGTAGAATCACTTTGTTATTACCGAACAAAGCATTCCTATCCCAACACACACTAACAAAAGATCTGTGTTGCTGGATCTTAAAAAAAAAAAAGGAGAGCCTTCAACATAGCGGACTACATATTTTAATTGAGGAAAAAAAAGGAATGGAAAAATGTCATTGTGCAGCTCCGTTGTGGTTTAAAGCCTCACCTCCACGTGTACAGTCCACCCACTTGTCTTCCTCATATGTTGTAATATGTAGAGATGATGACCTATTGATTTCTGCTTTAGGCACGTTTGACAAGCAGGTGGCTGCTGGAATACACTCAGCGCGTAATCTCATTTGTTCGCTAATTAGCACTTGACTTACTACACTGAGACCGGGGCGCTGACAGCGACAGGCAAGAGATGACTGATGGGTCTGGAAACGTACACGCGGTGAAGATTCCTCTTATTTGGGCCAAATTTTTCGGCGAAAATAGGCTAGTTAGCGATAGCATTAAGCTCGTGGACCGAAAGGCAAAGCTATGTGGTTGTTTTAAAATACACAAAGTGTTGGTATGTATGCAGGGTTGTCCACTGTGGTCAGAAAACACAATATTCATCCGTACATATATAGATACGTCCTTCAATCGTGACATTATATCTTTCCGCGGGCCATTTTTAACGCAGCGCATACCTCACTAGAAGTAAGTGCATATGCATCGATCATGTGTTGCGGACCCCAACAAATATGCACATTGGACGAGAGCATAAAGTGCGAGCGCCCGCGCCTAAGCGTGCTCTAACGAAATGGAGGGGCCTAATCACCTCACGGGGAGGAAACCTCGTCTCCTTCCGCCGCCTTTTAACATTAAGGGATATTAACGGCCCCCAGCGCTCCTCCGTTTCCTACAGAGAAATGAAATACATCATTAATGGTTTATCACAAACACGGCTAATGCCCGATGCAGACAGACCTCTTACCATTAATAAATGATAGCACGCGGGGGCGGGGTGTTTTGAAAGCTGACAAAGCTAAAGGGGTGGGGGGCATGGGAATAACGTCTTTGCCCCGTCGCCTTGTTTAACTTTTCCAATTAAAAGCGGAGGCTTACTGTATTAACCCCGCGCCCACGCCTGCCATTTTTCCAGGCTAACATTGTTTTGTAGAGGGCCACGGGGACGCCTAAGCAGCCGTATTTCAATCCCAAACTGGCAGCGGTCCTTGCGCGGTGACAGCAAACGGCAGGCGCGATGGTGAATTATGGGACCTGGATGGAGAGGGCAGATCATACGTTTGGATCTTGTCTGGCTTCCCATCGACCATGATGAACGCTGCAGCCTTGTAACACACGCCCATTTTACTCTCCTCCACGACCGTTGACTGTAAAAAAAAAAAAAAAAATCTTCTGTCGTATCTTGCAAGTGCTAACAACACTGCACTAACATACTAAAAACGTGTCCGTGTTTCACCTCGATGGCAATTAACTTGATCGTCTACTTTTTGATATTTTTGGTGGTATCTTATGAAATTTAGACCTGTTGCTACATCATTCGACCATGATGAACGCTGCAGCCTTGTAACACACGTCCATTTTACTCTCCTCCACAACCGTTGACTATTAAAAAAAAATAAAAAAATCTCTTCTGTAGTATCTTGCAACTGCTAACAACACTGCACTAACATACAAAAACGTGTCGGTGTTTCACCTCGATGGCAATTAACTTGATCGTCTACTTTTTGTGATATTTTTGGTGGTATCTTGTGAAATTTAGACCTGTTGCTACATCACCTCTGAATGACGGTATTCATGAAGATTGAAAGGGTCAAACAGATTGAGTTGTTCTCGTGTGCTGCTATCGTCCTGGAACCCCAAATCTTTGTCAAAGATTCGTAACTTGCATCTTCTTTCAAGGACACGAGGTCAAGGTTTCAAAGTGGCGTCCCTCACCCTGCTTGTCTTCATCATACTCGTCCTGACATTGAGAAGAACATGTGCCGCTGCCGAACACATTGTAAGGTCAGGCCACCAAGATATTAGATTAGCTCCAGAAAGGTGCAGTAATTAAAAAGTCACCACATCATTGCGCCGTCGACAAATTACATCACGGTGACATTGTCGTCATAAGTCAACGGCAATCTAATACTGAAGGTTATGTACGGGCAGTACCTTGCCACAGTGAGGGACACCAGGTTTGGGATTCTGGAGCAACGTTAAACTGACGGTTAAAAAAAAAAAACAAAACAAATAAATAAGAAAGAAATCAAATACAGCCTTGCTACAGAATAGATGCAGACTTTTTTTCCGTTTTTTTTCCCCCAAAGCAATGGCTGCAACGACCTCAAGCGTCCCCAGGTGGTCCAAGATAAGAGGGAGCACATACTCCCAAATCTGGTTTCCTTCACTGGCGCTCAGTACATTTTAGATTTCTTGTCTGTTGTCTTGAAATGACCTCGCCTCAGCTTACCTGTCTGAGCTCTTCCACCCCAACGCACCTGCCTGTTGCCTCAGTTCTATGGACCAGATGCTCGTGAAGGCGTCGAGGACTAAGTGGAGCCTCAAAAGGGATTGAGCATTTTCTCTTGCCAGTCCGACCCTGCACCTCTGCACTGTGAGGCGGACGTGCTCACCAGTCGACCAGCGCGCCGCCCCAGGCGAAGCTGGATTAACATGAAATTGACATGAACAGATAAACAGCGGTTAAGGTAAACCTGTGTTTTCCTTTCGGGTTATTTCTGCTGGGGGATGTCTGAGCTGTCAATCATGTGGATGCACTCTCGGGAAGTCAGCCCTCATGCTCTATTTGATTCCATTGCCCTGTTCCCATGCCCTCACACACTGAAAGAGAATTAGCGAGTAAACACACACACACACACACACACACACACACACACACACACACACACACACACACACACACACACACACACGACGC